ATAATGGAATAACCACATAAGCAGAATAGAGGAGACCCGTGTCGTCAAAATAGCAAGAGATAAGTCACCAATTGGAGAAAAAAAATATCGGACGAAAGCGCAAAAGATGGAGGTCCTTCCATAGAGGTGTTAATCCGCCAATGAACAAGCAGAATTGCTTATAAAGAGGAAGAAGATTTATTACTATTTTAAGGAATTCAATTTTTTTGACTAATTTTGAGAACAAATAAGCATTGTATAACGTAATAATTTAAGTATGGTGATCTATCTGACTATCTCTACTCTATCTATTTTTGACATACACCTCCCTCGTCTCTTCCTCTGGTCTCTTTGCAGTTCTCTTATCATCCATGTTATTCCAGCAAGTTTCTCTATATTGTCACTCCATCTCATTTGTTGTATTCCTCTTCTTTTATTATAATTCGTTGTTCTTACGTAGTATTCTGTTTCCATTTTATTTGTGAAATGGTTTTCTTTGTGAAGGGATCAAAGTTTTATTTTTCTTTGGTGTGTAGGCAGAATAGTGCTTTTTTTATTCTATTCTTATTTGATATACTCCTAATCTTTTGCAAACAAATTTTCTGTAAATTCTTTTATTCGATTTATAGGGGTCAACATGTTAAACGTCTAGATAAATAAAATTCAGACACACACAGTAGTTTGAGTGGTTTTTTTTCTACGGTAGATGTTGCCTACATACTCGTTTCTGCTCAGTTGTGGGGAATTTGGTTTGGAACTAACATTTATGTTTTCGATATTCTCTTCGATTGTGTGAAAGTTGTCATTTCCATAATTTCGTGGTCGTCCTATTGTTGATCATTGTCCCATTTGTTTAGATTTGAAAATTATCTCTCATTATTGAAACTAACTCTCTTTTTTGCATTTATTTTGTAACCCTGCTATTATCTTGTTGCTATTAATTCCTGTTAATTGCTGTCATGTGAACGTCCTGGAAAATGAGAACTTAACGTGATGTCTTCGCCGTTGTCGTTATCGAAGTCTGCTACATATTACAAAAAATCATAAACCTCAAGAAAATAATATCAAAGTTAGACGTATTGTATATGTCCGCCTATTGTTCTTTCAAATGACATGAGAAAGATATAAGCAAAAATTCAGTTTTTTATAATTTTTTTATGTACTAGTCTTAGACTTTAATAACGAACGCCACTGTCACCTCGACTGTCCTTGTCTGTCGCTAAATCGCTTAGGTGGAGGTCCTTAAAAATATACTGCTCTTCTAAATAATCTGGATTTCTGACAGGACGAGCTAATGCATGTCTCTACGCTACCGAAATCGACACAGCCTAAAGTGGATGTGGATACAGAAAGCAAAGGTCGGTCGGTTGACAATGAACAGCATGCTTCCGTCACTAAAGATACTGATAACGATTCTTTACAAAACGTAATCCCACCTCCTTCCATATATTCTGAATGTGAACCTAACAACAATGTATCTAATATGTACTTTAACAATCAAAATGTACCTACCAATGTAACATACTCTATATCGCAACCGGTAGTTACTAGTGACTTTAATTCCAACACATTTTCGTTTAACGTTCCGCCTAATGAGAATCAGTTCCATATTAATGTCTACAACACTATACCTCAATCACAACCACAAGCATTTAGATATGATTACGTTCCTCATTTTACTGATATACCAATCGTGCCATCTCCGGGATCTAGTCTTACATATATGCTTGACGATTCACAAATTATTAAAGTTCCCCCGCCCCCTCCTATAGACTTCGACGAGTATTCCATAAAATCCGATTCACCTCCTCCTTTACCATCAAGTTCCCCTCCACCCCTGCCAAAAACTCCGCCACCTCCACTAGACGACGAGGTTGTATCAACAATCGAAAAAGTTCTGGAAACTTCAGTCCAGGTCTCAACAACTACAACCATAAATCCTACTAATAAGCATAATGTTACCATTACAGAAGAGGAAGAAGTTACAGAACCACCGATAGGAGCACTGAAGAAAATTGTAGCCAGCTTAAGAGACGACATCGTAGCTCATACCACTGTTCCAGGAGATGTAGAAGTTTCTGTTACTGCTCCAACTAGTAGAACAGTTGATTTGTCTTCGCCAAAAATAGAAAATACTGATAAACAAATCAGTCAACTTTGCACAAATATAGACGATGCTTTACAGGCAGCTACTAACATCGATCGAACAATAGAAAAAAGTAATAGAATGTTTGTAACTAGTTTGACCGAAACAGATCGAATTGTTTCTTCAGGAGTTGTTAAAAAACATGTATCATATCTAACTGATGACTCAGACAACATCGAAGTATCTATCATCCCTTCAGTAGATCAAGGAATTTTAAGGAAACCAAAAGATAATCAATTAAAACCAAACAATGAATCAGAGTCAATCAATAGGAAATTTGTAAGAAGTTGGGTAGAAACTGAAGAAACGACATCTTCACTTCCGGCAAGAAAACTTGTCACTAGCTTGATAATCGATACACCCTCGAGTGAAAAGCAACAAGTGCAATATTCCCAAATCATAGCGCCTACACCATTTAAAATAACAAAACAAATTTCCCAGTCATCCGAACCTCGCTCTCCTACGACTCCCACCAGACGAATTGCTCGACCTCAAGTTCCTCCTCCACCAGTACCCATCATTAAACTAGCTTCACCTCCCCAAATTCAAGCCAAGAAAATTCCACCCCCAGTACCCGCCAAGATTTCTAAATTAAACCCTGCTCGAAGCGAAAATGATCTATTAGATCCCGTCGGTTTTGTCAATAAAAGCAACCAGCCTACTAGACCTATTTCTTTTGTATTTTCTGATAGAAAGGATTTGGGATTCGTTAGCGGAAATTTAGGGAAGTATGGTACTGTGGCAAAGGTAATTTCTTCTTTTTAACTTGTAATAGTAGTAGTAGTTTTAGATTAAGAATTACTAATAGAAACATGTGATTTGATGCTTCCAAAACGTTGTAGATATTGCTTTTGTTTTTAAGCGACAAATTAAATTGATATCAAATACTATAGAAATATTGGGCTTAAGTTTAAATAGAATAAATCAAGATGCATTGTTATAGGAGTTTATGAGCCGTTTTACAGAATTATTTGTTTTGGTGTAAATGTGACAGACATTATCATAGGTGACGTTGTATCGTTTTCCTCAGCTACTGATGATTTTCCTCCACCAGATACCGAAGGAAAACCATCAGATTAAAAGTACATCAAGACTTAGCGTGCAAGTGACTACACAAGAAAATACAGTAACAGTACTATCGACAGAACCTGTACAAGCTAGTACAAGGTCACAGTATACTGGAATGGGTATCATGAATAAATGAAGCCATTATTTACTTCTGATAACTAAGAATTTTCAGAATCGCGAGGCTTGGATGGTCAAAGAATCGAATATAGACCATACATTTAAATGTGGACATGGAGATGACTACTTCGAATTCCACGGACGACCCTCCGCACTTGGTTTTATATGAAATTAACGTCTTTCTAGGATAGTTTACCGGTTGTTGGTCCAAGGAAGACCTTAGAGTAAGTGCAAACGTGGTATTTACACAGTGGTGGGCAGACATTACAAAAAACCTTCTCAACAAACAGTATACGGTAGCGGCACATGTGACAGTTAGTCAAGACCAACGAGGAAAGATCATAATTAAACCGTCCAAGCTGATGAAGCTCAATGATGAACAACAACACATAAGTCAAGATTTTAATGACTATGAAAGATGAACCAAGAATATTTTGCTTAAATATGTTCACGATTCTTCCATTTGTAGTTAAATCCTAGACACTGACTCCTGTAGCATTATTAAAACTTGACGTTTTAAGTTTTTCTTGTTGTTCTTGCCAGAGTCGACATATATCATCAACTACTTGCTAAATCTCGTATTAAAATACTCACACGGCTCATGACTAAAGTTATATCGCCTTTATAGGTCTTTTACTTTCTAGAAATAAAAGGGTTTCTTCAGTTTCACAGTTTTTTACTAAAGAAACCACTGTAGTAAGTTCTCAAACCTGGAAAGTTACTCATCTAAATTCTGAGCTGAACAAAATTTTGTAGTACTTCACAGTAGGAGACCTCTTGGAATAGGTGATGACCAAAGTGCAATGTTCTTGAATGCTCTCATGATACGTGTGGGTAATTCTTATCGATTTTTACGATCAGTCTCAGAGTAAGTTGCACTAGAAACGAACGAGGAAGTATTGCGAAAAATCAGCAAGCAAGAAGAGATTAAATTTACAGTGGGGAGTATAAAGGTATGTTGGTTATCTGATGGAATATAACAAATATTGCCTCTACCAACTTAGCGTTTAAGAAAAGGTGAATGACAGGAGAGGTCTTGGGAGCAGCAGAAACTCATAACTCATTGATGAAAAACCTAGAGCTTTTGGACTAGTCTCTAATGGTTACGTTAATAACATTGGATAAAGCAATAGATCTTTGAAGGCTCTTATCAGTATTGCTCTTTTTTTATGTAATTCATGGATAGAATCTGAAATAATTTTGTTCAATGTGTAAAATTTATTTTCAAAATAACTTTTTCTAGTCTATAGAAGTATTAAAAAGGCGGTACTAATCAGAGTACTGGTTGTAGTTCCAAATTATATATGTACTACTAAAATGGACTAGGCTAGAATACGCTAGGGTCTTATCGGTCTATGGTGGATACGCAAGAGATAAGGGCTTGCAGCTTGGCGATACTCCTCCATAGAATCATAGATCGCTACCGGAAGGGCGTAACGCCTAATATACCTGTATAAATAAACAAAAAATTAAAATTCTTTTGTTTGTAAATCCCTGTCTAAAACAATATAACTATTTGAAATGTTTGTAGTAATGTTAGATAGGAATTTTAGATAGGAATTTTATTTTTTTCTTATATTGATATAATATAATAATTTCATTTTTGGAAGTATCAAACACATTTCTTAATTTTATTAATATACATTTGAGCATTTTTTGGCATTTTGGTTTATTGCTTAAATTTTTAAAGACTCCACAATCACCCCAACACAATGCTCCCAAGCAGTCGGTGAGCGATAGAAAGAAATTTTTCGAATCAGCGATGGAAGAGAGTCAAAAACCTTCTAAACCAGGTAAAGTATTTATTATTTTTCAACGCATTTTAAGCGAGTACTACATATACAGTGTTTTTTATATTAAAAACTTTTAACTTACGGAACATATAAGTTTTGAGAAAAAAATATGTAACACATTTTTACTTTTGTAAAATTTACTTTTTTTAATATTCTTATTTTTCTTCGTAATTTGTAGTGGTAGTATAATTCAAACTTTTCTTGTTTATTATCGTTAATTTTTAAAACTGAACAAAACTCATACAATAAAGTATAAACGTCAAACTAAGCTTCTTAATAATTATTGGTGTGCTGGCTCTATGACATTCTAATATTTTTGGCAAACACCAATACCTTAGTATACTCCTAACCAAACAGCACCTCACATACCTATATGAGGATACATATTGAAAATAAATTTGTCATGATCAAGTTACGTTATAAAGATCACCAGTTGGTGGTCTGAAGGTTGATTCAGACCAACAGTCACTTCACAGTCAGAGATGGTACTGTCAAGATTGCTTCTATGGATTTCCAATAACCCTCAATATAATGAATTTTGTCAATTTATATACAGAGGGTTCAGAATAGAAGTGAACCAAGTCCACCTGATCTACATTTGAGCTACAGAGGTTTAAAGTTAAATCTTCATAACAAAATTACCCGTTAACATTTTTAAAAGTATATATTCAATTTAAGAAGGTCAAGGAGTAACTTACACATTTGCATTACTTTTATTGGAAAAATTTTATGTAATAATCCCAAAAAATGCAAAAAAGTGGACTTGGTTCAAATACATTTTGAAAAATTTTAGAAGGAAGATAATGAACCAACTTCAAGTGTTGGTTTTGAGGCATTCGTTGATTCCCTGGAAGGTTGCTGAAGTGCCCATGATGAATAGGGGGTATGTAAGGTAGCAGAGACAACATATTTCCCTTTTTTAATTCATTTGTCTTCTCGTTGGGTAAAGCTGATCCTGCTGTACAGTCAACATTGTGTTCACTTCCACGGGTGTTCCAGACCGTGTTACTTGTCTTTTTCGAGATATCCAAGGTTCGGAAACTCGAAATTTCACTGAAAGATTCATTTATTTTTATTTGGAAAGGTGCTCCTATTTTAAACCTCAACCACCGTATCTATTTATTTGCCTATCTTCAATGTCCTTTTTACTGTTTGTGATTGAATCTTCGAGGAATTTTGTGCTCAAAAACTCTTCTCGTTGTAGTTTTACAACTTCAAACTGATCCTTTTTCACTTTTGCAGTTTTTAAAATATGGACTTAAGTATCTTTTGTTTTCATTGTCCTTTCTTGTATAGTGGCTTTGGTAGCAGGGAAATGACTTTATATGGTAAACAACATCTGAGTTATCAATTTTACACGACGCTGCTTTTCCCCTTGCGTCAATAACGGCAGTAATTTCTGATTTATTTAAAAATCTGTATAATCTTCCCCAGCATGGTAACAAAGGAGGTCTTACAAACCCTTAGCTGATTTTATGTTCATTTGGAATAACGTACTGATCCATTATTGATTTTGCTCAAGTTTCGTGATATTAAGGTTGTACTGTATTTAGTATAAGTAGTCTAAATTAAACTGATTAGCAAAGAAAAATAGTAATTTAAAAAATTGTTTTGTATGACAAGTTCAATTTTTTTTATATGTTGGTTGACGTGAATGCTGAAGAAGACTGATGGTGATCTGCCCGGACTGTGTATGTTTGCATGGGTTGCACCTTGACTTGACGGCGATTTTGACTGTAATCCAATCTTCCCAAGACTGTTGGTCTAAATCAACCATAAGGTGTTTTTGGAAGCATAGCTATGTTATCGCGGGCTACGGACGGAATGTATTGATCCATGCAATTGATCGCGCATGGATAAAAAAAAAACAAAATACATAATTGAAATAAAATAATCTATTCGAATTGAATTTAATTGAAGTACATTACGGCTAAAAATACATTAAAAATGCTTTACATATATATGTTATATAAAAAGTTTATAGTTTAAAAGTTATTAAAAATTTTTAATCGCGAAATCGTAACAGCTGTACATAAATAGAAAACTTGAACCTATTTTGACTTAATTTACTATTGAAAAAAAAATGGGAGGAACTTTCTTTTTCAGAGAAAAAAAAAGCAATAAGCAAATAGTTTTTCGCCCTTGCAGAATCAACAAACACACTGTGGGCTAGTACGTGGCGACATTGCGCGTGCTTCGATCGGTGTTTGAACTTTTAAATAGTCGCTACTTCAAAACTGCATGAACTAACTAAATATATCTTTTGAGTCATTCTTAAACTTTTTTTATAAAAAACGTAAATTCTTTTTTTAATATACCCACATTACTGTAATATGTAATGCAAATAATAAATATCCAAATTCAACAATCAACAATTATTTTCCTTCTTCTTAAAATTTATTTACTGAATTGTGATGTAACATGAATTGTAACAAAGCTGTTTGAAAGATTAGAAGCTCGAAACATTGATATCATAATCTGCTTGTCAGTAGCAATGACGACAGTTTTTGTCATTGCTGAGTTTTGAATTCAGGTCTCAATCAGGTGTGTGGGAAATGACAGAATAGATAGATGGATATGCTAGTCATTGCTTGTTAATGTAACTATGCATATAATTATATACACAGTAATTAATTAAATAAAAACTTTCATTTGTGGAAGAAAATAGAGATGAAGCGTTATTTTTATTCCACTATTCTAATTAGGTGTTTTTCGATGATTCTATTCTATGTAACTTTGTATAGACAGTTTTTCGTCGAATAAGTTCTAGTGTAATGATTTTTCCACTAATTGTACTCCTTGTCGCAATCGCATTGCTTTACTTACTGCTGCAACCATATGCATAACCTATAATCTTTGTTATAGGTTAATCTTTGTAAGAAGCAAAAATTATTTAGAGAAGGAAAAGGAAAATTTGGTTTCAATAATTGAGAAATATAAAGATATTATTGAAAACAAAAAAAAAACAGGCAGGGTTTGGTCCAAATAGAAACATGCGACATGGTTCAAAATTGCTAGTGAATACAACAGCACATGTAGATCTGGTATTAGAAGTCGACATATCGATTGGTCTATTTTTGTTGCCTAGATGATGCAGTTGGCCATCGATCAAGTGTAATAATTGATCTACTGAATTTTTAGATAATTTATACCTATTTTTAAAATCCACATCGTCAAATTCAATAAAAGGGTTGCTTCTCTACAGCAACAAGCGTTGTATTCTCCCTAGTTGCTCAGGTGGTCTTGATCAGAAGATGACGAGGGTGATGATAATAATAATCCAAAAAACATACAAAACATACACAAACAATACATAAAACAGCTGGGTCTAAATGAACATCTTTATAAGGCCATACAGAAAGCTGTACTCCTCGCGACGTCCAGATGTGTACGAAAATTTTTGGGAGATACTCCAACAAACCAAGTCACGTAGGGCTCGATAACACGGAAAGAGTCCCACCAGAGCTGAATCCTTTTGATACCGTAGGTATCTGGGATGAGTGAATTTTCCCCTTAGAGGGAGTGTGAGCCTTATGGCTAAATCTGGGATCCAAAAAACGATGGTGCAGATATGAAATTATTTTAAAACGCGAAGTGTCAAAAATTTAAGCAGATGATTCAATATTATTATTAATTGGATGACATTTATGACTTTTAAATTTTGACAATCGTTTCGAATCGAATCTTCTATTGACAGATATTCTTTACATTGTTAACTTCTCATTTAATTTCTGTATTTTGTTAATGATTTTTCATGCCGTTTTTGATTTAAAGTTGCTTAAAATAAATATATGATTACTAGAAACAAATTAATCGAGAGTAGTTGACGAATTTTCTTTATTACAGATATTTAAAGTGAGGTTAACTTGTCAATGTATTCGAAGGATAAATATTTATTCGGCCGATAATGAACGAATAACTTATTTTGAGTTTATTCATATAATAAGTCTTATTAGACGTTGGTGAAACATAGTGTCAGCCTTATTGACCAATAAGCATTGTTCGTTGGTGAAACCGGCCATTAGTCATAAGTTTCAGCGATACAGTGTTGCCACAATGTATCGTATGTTGGTTCATGCTAAATATACATATATCAACAAACCAGACGGAATGTGTATACAAAAGTATACCATTTATTTAGCTCTTTCTAGTTAATTAGATCACGTCACAAAAAATCTCCTTAATAAAAGTTACATTAACAACTTTTTCTCAAAGACTTGTATGTCATATGTTTAACGTTATATAAAATACATTTAATATGTTAAGTTGTAACCATTTTTTGCTTGGTTTTCAGAAAAAGTCTTTAGTTATCTTAGTGCGGATGAATTAGAGAAGCTAAAAGCAGAAGAAGAAAGAAAAATTGCAACTCTTTCAGCTTCCGATATTAATTCTTTACACGAATTGGATCATTCTGATGAAGAATCAGCTGAATCACAACGTTCAAGGTATGTAGTTTTATGTAATTTTTTTGCTGAGCTACAAACTAGAACTCTTTGTGTTCAAAACTATTTTTTTATTATTATTTACTCTGTATTGTATAGTTATATATCGTATGAATCTCTAGTTTGCTTAAACTTCGCCAATGCTTCTCGTTTGTCACTGAAGACCGCAAAAGTGAGATATAATTCCAAACAGTACCTAAAGCAATCAAAAGTGTTAGAATGTGCTAGAAAATACAAAGTGTTAGAAAATACAAATTTAGTGCTAGAATGTTTTATTCAAACCGATTTAAAAAACTGTTCTGTTTGCCAAATATTTTCAAGGTGACACTCGATTTTGTAAACATTTTCAGATTGAATTAATGTTTTTAAATAATAAAAACAGTGTCTGTTAGGATTTAGAAAACATTTTTGGAAATTATTAGAGCCTATGCAAAAAATTAGTAAATCTTAATAAATACAAATACTTTTAAAAACTGTAATAGTAATGTTGTATTTAAAGTAGCTTTTATCCCTTTCCAATCAATCCGCATCTGGTTATTAAATGCAATATACAAATATTTTAACACTTCTTTGTATACGTTAATTTTTAGGCCTTCGAGTACTATCGGTATAGTACGTACAGCAAAGGCAGAAAGACGTTTGAGAGATCAACTTCGAGAAGAAGGGCTTTTAACCGACGAAGACGATCCTCCCCTATCACCAGCCGAAGAACGTGCTCTACGAGCTGAAAAGAGAGCGGCCTGGAGAGCTGCCAGACTCAAGTCCCTCGAACACGATGCCATGCAAGCGCAGATGGTTATCAAGAGTATGACGGACATTGTGAGATCTGGAGAAGTACCCACTCCGATAACGACAGAAATAAGTGATACAGACGGGCTTCCACAAACAAATGAGGTAAGTCAAAAGTGGTGTAAGTAACTAACTTTCATACTGTAGTCTTTATAATAAGCAAAATCAAAAATACCAGAGTTCGTTTTATGCCAAGAATATTAGATTAACAATAGGAAGAAAAAGTAATGTACTTGGAATGTATGTTAAATTAGGGATCTGATCGTTCTCAGGAAGTGAATATTTCAATAGAGAAAAGTTAAAGTGCATTCAGATGAGAAGTATATTTTGTAACGTGAGTTTCAACGTGCTGTTGGGTAGGATATTTCTCCCTGATATATCTCCCTCCCTATAACTATCTGAAAACTTTCCAAATATGCTATCGCTGCAATTCATCGGCCAAGAACCAGAAAGAAGGAGGGTACTTAGATGGCATGATGCGAAACGGTAAATATTGGTTGCCATAATTAATACTGTAGAATAAAATCGAAAGAAGATTAGGTGCAATTCGACAAAAACACAATGATTTGTCAAAAAAATTTAGTCTACCAAGATCTTCAGATCAGCAATTGATATAATCCATCATCATTCTCTTTGCCTTTTATCCTTATGCGGGGTCGGCTTTTCTATTTCTCCATAAGTTTCTATCTTGGGTCATATCAATATTAATACCTTTTACCGACATGTCACGCCTAAGCGTCTCCCCTCAGGTCGTTGTTGATCTTCCTCTCCTACTACTTCTAGGAACCCGCAGATTAGCAATCCTTCGTATTGGGTGATTAACGTTGATTAACTATTCTCTCTCATCTTGGCAACAATTGGTGCCACTCACCAATATACTCATTCCTCATTTTATTCTTTTTTGTCACTCCACTCATCCATCTAAGCATTCTCATTTTCGCCACATGCATTCGTTGTTCCTCTTTCATTTTAACTGCCCTACATTCATAGTATTTTACCGTTCTGGTTTTCCTTTCGAGTCGTAAGCTATTTGTAGTCGACGTGTGCATTCGGGATCTATCGATTCGTCCGAATCGCTATTTCCAATTTTGGCACGTCTGGGAAGAGGTTTGTATTTCATAGTCTTGAGAAGCACATCCTGTTTAGGTGCAAAATCTCTTTCTAGTAATGCCTTTAGCTGTATAAATACTCATTTGACAACGAGTTTTTTTTTCTCCTGTTAGCTGTCGTTTTTACATCGGTTATACTGCAGCTAATCCACTTATAATCTTCCATTAACTACTATTCAAATCCTCGAGACCGGCTATGTATAATTTCCCAACCATATACCTTAAGTTGGTCCTAGTACACCCAAAGCTCATACATCAACGTGACAACGAACCCGCATTAGCAACAGTACATAGCAACTTCTGCGTAAGCTGCCTTACTGTGCTGAAGGTTTGCCTGTAGGATCGTGATTGGGATTATTGAGGCCTATTTAAGACGGATATAGACTCCGCGACCGTGGTCTTTATTCATTTTCTCTACACTGTTACTTATTTCTGAGACATCTCTTTTTGTCTTGGGTCTATTTGATTCCCACGAACTGGGACTAAGTACTCTCAGCTATGACAGTGCGCTCATACCATAAAAAATAATCATCGCATCGAACCTAGTAGGCCCATGGCTTGATTCCCCGTTCTCCTTCACCCTTTCTGGTCCATTGCTTTCATCCTCCTTCTTTTTAGATCATCTACATATAATTTCCATCTTGTTCCGGGACGACCGGAACTCTGACGTCCCCTTATTCTACTTGACAGTAGCATTTTCGGTAGTCGCGACCATACCATGGTATAATCTCTCAGTTCGTTAACTCTCTGGGGCATCGCTTAGGGAGCACTTATTCCCTGTGTCATGCTTCCCCTGAACACTGGGTATAATAGTGTTACACATCAGGATTGAGGAGCAGCACAAAAGTCGCAGAACAAATCTCATTATATGGTGGTCAGTTGTGGTGCTGCTATCTAGTGATTGGCCGATTGGGCATGATGTAGATAAGCATCTGTGTATGTGTATTTTATGTGCCGGTGTTTGTATGTGTATGCGTTTTTCTATGATTGAGTGTGACATGTTTAATAAAAATATTAGCAGTCAATGATGTACCTAGAACCCCCATGTCATGTTCTCAGTTGATCCGCGAGTGTTTGGTTATACTTTATTCACACCTGTCCTAACGTCCTATCTATTAATAGGACGTTCTTTATTAGCCATTGTAGCCTACCTTATCGGGGATGGGAATTTCCCCACTCAGTATGTGCTTCGTTGAATAGAGGCCGAATATTATCAGACAAGACAACCGCAAAAATTTATTTGAATAAATACAGCTGTTTAGTAGAACATTACATATCACTTTCTACGGACAATCAGAGAGGCTATTGAAATTGACTAATTTTAATTGTAAAGAGTAGCGTTTTCATTACGTTACGAAAAACAAATCATCTTCATAGAGGCACCGAAAATTCCAATATCGATTCGGATCAGCCGAAAAATAAAAATAGCGTATATACTTGAGATCGAGTAAGATCGTAATTGGGTGATATGAACGATAGGAAGGTATGTCTACTTCCCGCCGTCTTGTTCCCATAAAGCAAGGAACCTTCAGGAAGAAAAAAATGTGGACCACAGCCTATAAAACGCGAACACAATGTACCATTACTTTATTATGTATTATTTAATCACAATCATATAATAAATAAAATATATTCCGATATAATAAACTATAGTTAAGTTTGTACTTGTTTTAATTAATTGTTTAAGCTCTTTTAGAGCGTAGGAAGAGCATCTAACAGTGCATGGCAGAGTCATTATTATCGTCTGTCTGCTATTGTTTTTTGGAAGTAGAAAGTGTTGCATGCGAAAATTATATTTATATATAATTGTCATGTATTGTTGTTAACATTTAATTTTTCTATAAAAACTAATCGGTGTTGCCAAATGTTCAAATATTAAAATTTTTCAAACATTTATTTATTATTAACGTCATAAGTAATCGGTATAAACTCAAAAACTTTACAAAAATGCTATACCAAACATTAACAAGCACACGATACATTATTTTTAGTAATTCCATACATTATTCTTCAATTTGCGATAAAAGATGTACCACGATGGTGAATACTAGGTTTGGGGCAATCAATTTATAGTAGTACCATCGTTTTAAAAGACTCACTACTATTCAGCTCAGTGAGGTGCCATTGTTCATGGTGTGAAATTACATAAACAAGAGATTATTCCTCTAGTGTGTATGTTATTACCTTAATTTGATACATGGTTTACCTTTAGCTTAAGCGGGGCATTCACGTTCCGATATTTAGTCAAACTTGTGGTCCAACCTCCGAAGTTTATTTAAAATTATTATTTTTATTTAAAATTACACGATCTTTCCTGATAATACTATAACATTGGCAACACCGCTTACTAATACTCTTTTAACTAGTAGTATTGAAAACGTAAATAACTGGACTAGTCCAGGTGTGTTACTAATAAAATAAACACTAACCTAAATGCATGTTCAGTTACGTCCCTCGAGCGCCGATTTCCCCAAGCTGGCCGTAAGGACGAAACCCGGCAACACGACCGTTAGAGAGAGCGAGAAGGTGTTGGGAGAAACGATAACGAGAAAGACGGAGGAATACATCGACGAAAACGGCGAGAAACGAGTGAGAACTGTGGAGTACGTAGAGAAGCTGATTGAGAGAGAGGTATAAGAAAGCAAAAATTGATGGCTTATGAAATCAGCATGACTCTCTTTTGTGCACCATTCTGGTTAGTTTTTAACACACGTTTATTTTCTCTTTTTAGTAGTTTGTAGTGTTGATGGTATATTTTTTGGGAATAAATAGAGACATTGCGTTTGATTTTGCAGCTTGTTGATACAATCTATATTATGAGACAGTACCAGAATATGTATTTGGCAGGTTTTGAAACTCTCTAGTACCACCTAATATCAATTGAATCGCTAAAGTAGTACCTGTTGGCATCATGAACATAACTGTGTTGTTCAGATATCACCAATACAATTTATATTTTGCGATATAGTGGGCTCTACGGAGCAATTGTACTGCTTCTAGGTGTAAAGTTAATAAATAATAAAGTAAAAATAAAATAATAAAATAGTAAAAATAAAATAGTAAAATAATAAAGTAAAAAATGAATAATGTTTAATATTCATTTGGAATATTAAGGACGGCGTGTAATTTGCCGACATAAATAAAAAATGCTAAGATTCGGCAATATTCTATAGTGCATATGGCAATTAGTACGAAACAAAGCAGGTGGAATTCTTCTTCTGCTCTTTTGCTCGACTCTGCTGGAGCGACATGTTATTCTCGAACCAATGGTATAGAAGCAAGGTGTGAGCTGTGCCATAATTAGATTATATTACTAGTTGTGTTTAGTGTGTGGTCGGGGTAATTCGCATGTCAAAGCAACCAAAATTTACAGGAAGAACAGAAAGCTCTCCCAACTTTACCTTTTCGCTTTAATTCATTGGACAATTATTTTCTTAATTTATTAGCAATCATATAATCATTAATTAGTTTAAGTAATGTATTCAATAACGTCATCAAGGTTGAAGACCGTGGTTACTCCTAATTAAAAAACACTAAATCTGCCGAAGTACAAGTTACTCAATTTTAATACACTGATTTTCATTGTATATCACTGGGGTACGTAAAATGTAGGCAACTTACAATTCCTTGTTACAGTGTTGCCCGAGTTTCAAGATTTTCTTAAACTAAAGTATAAGATTCCAAACAAGCAAAATCAAAACATCATTAAGGCCAGGTTTCCCCAAACAATTTTCAAAAAATCAAATTGTTTTTTCACAACTTGCTAGAAAATACTCATAGAAATAGAGTTTAAGGAGATTGAGTGCAAAATAGCATTTGTTGGCCGTGCAAATTCTGCGGTTTATTTCTGCGGTAGTATTATTTTTAGTGTTAAGAAACGGTCTCAGGTATACAAATTTGTTCACTGCTTCAATGACGTCGTTTTCTATAACAAGTGGTCGTAGGAGTTGTGGTTGCGTACTTATTTTCATATACTTCGTTTAGTTGGTAGCTGATTCTTTTAGTTCTACGTATGCCTCTCGTGCAGCGTTTTCCTTTCTCCCAATAATAATATATTAATCCCCAAGGAATCTACGTTCCTGTAGTTGGCTGTATACCATATATTAAAAAAAATATTAAAAAACCTTTATAAAAGGTATATATTTAAAAACCCCAACGGGCTAATTATACAAAACGTTTTCGGAATCCATATTCCATCATCAGTATCTAGGAGTACATGAATGTAGCCACTAAATATATGGGTAAAAACCCGTTAACAAATAATTAGTTACATTATTTTGCGCCCACATTATTTTGCGCCCACACCATATTTCGCCCACACTATTTTTCGCCCACACCATTTTGCGCCCACACCATTTTGCGCCCACATCATTTTGCGCCCACACCATTTTTCGCCCACACCGTTTTTTGCCCACACCATTTTTTGCCCACACCATTTTGCGCCCACACCAGTTTTCGCCCACACCATTTTTCGCCCACACCATTTTGCGCCCACACCTGTTTTCGCCCACACCATTTTGCGCCCACATCATTTTGCGCCCACATCATTTTGCGCCCACCATTTTTCGCCCACACCGTTTTTTGCCCACACCATTTTTTACCCACACCATTTTGCGCCCACATTATTTTGCGCCCACACCATTTTTCGCCCACACCATTTTGCGCCCACACCTGTTTTCGCCCACACCATTTTGCGCCCACACCATTGTTTGCCCACACCATTGTTTGCCCACACCATTTTGCGCCCACACCATATTTCGCCCACACCATATTTCGCCCACACTATTTTCGCCCACACCATTTTGCGCCCACATCATTTTGCGCCCACATCATTTTTTGCCCACACCAGTTTTCGCCCACACCAGTTTTCGCCCACATTATTTTGCGCTCACACCATTTTTCGCCCACACCATTTTGCGCCAAGAGCCTGTTTTCGCCCACACCATTTTTTTCCCACACCATTTTGCGCCCACATCATTTTGCACCCACACAATTTTGCGTCCACACAACTTTGCGTCCACACAACTTTGCGTCCACACCATTTTGCGCCCACATCTTTTCGCGCCGCACTTGACTTGGGGCGCTTTCGGCAAACAAGCACATATCTTGAAAAACACCCCCATTCCTATAACGGGAAAGAAAAAGGTATATAACACATGCATACTACCAGTTTGTACCTACGGCTTGGAGACAGTAGCACTTACCAAAAAATCTGCCAAAAAATTAGAAACAACGCAAAGAGCAATGGAACGAATCATGCTTGGAATATCACTAAGAGACAAGATTAGAAACACCGAGATAAGACGTAGAACGAAGATTAGGGATATTGTGGAAGAAATTACAAAAATGAAATGGCGCTGGGCAGGTCACGTAGCTCGATATAATGAAAACAGGTGGACACGGAGAATTCTAGAATGGAGACCAAGAACGACAACAAGAAGCATGGGAAGACCTCAAAAAAGATGGGTAGATGACATAAGAGCAGTGGCAGGCAAACAGTGGATTAGATTGGCGCAAGATATAGAAAGATTGAAGCAATTGGGAGAGACCTACATTCAGGAGTGGATGGAAAATGGTTGACAAAGAAGAGAAGAAGAAGTATTAAACAAATGGTGTTTTATAAAGTTAAATATTGACTCAAAGGGTACTTTGTGAATTATCTGGTTGTAGTATAACATAAAGATGATATATTACATCTATTGGTAAACTTACTTCAAAAATAAAAATTTTCGAGTTATCTATTTTTTTGAGGTGACGTATAATGTAAAAGTGGATTCAGTTGAATTGACTGAAACTTTGCCAGAGACTTCGCTTCGGTCATGCTGATCAAAAGTTCTCAGTGCCATAAGACTTAAAAATCAATTGTTTTTGAGTTAAAGAGCTTCAAGGTTTTTAGTTCAAATGTTAGAATAAGTGAACATCAATCTTATATTAAAAATAGAGAATTTGATAGATCTCAAATATGTAAACACGCATGGGATAATGAACATAGGGGTCAATGGAATAATTCAAATGTAGTCCTAAAAGAAACGGATGGTAAAAAAAATCAAAGAAGCGGCTTTCATTATGCTAAATGAGGCCAATTGTGTCGCAAATTCCTCGGTAGAATGTAGTAGGATCTGGTTACCAATATTGAAAGAGGAAGTTATTAAAAAGAAAATACCAGTATTAGTAAGTCAGTAACATATAGAGGATACATCATGTATGTTTTTTAAATAACGAAACATATAAAATCAGAATTTTGGTGTTTATTGAAGGTAAACTAAATGCACGACCAAATACTTACCATGTCGGGATAGTATTATGAGGTTTTTTTCCTGGTTTTTCCCTCATAATTTACTATGGAATCACTTACAGGAGAATTTTACTGTCATCATGTCATGTGTTTGTCTTTTTAAAGACGAATTACATGCTATGATTTTTTTCTGACGAATATTCTCAAGTTAAAGTTGATTTCATGTAATCGAATGAACTATCTTATAAGTAAAGTCGTCCCAGGAGCGCAAATCAACAATATTGGCAATATCATTTTAAAGTCATCTACTTTAAAATGCATAATGAATGTCTGAATTGTCAATATAAAAGAGTCAGATAAAATTAAATTATTAGAAGAATTTTTCACTATGTAACAAAAAACAAAATTTGTTTAATTTACTGTTTGTATTTTGAGAACGATTTCCGAAGTGGAAATTGAAACGTCAATAAACGTATTTTTATCTTTAATTGTGGCTTATTCCCAGTTAAATAGTAATTAAGTGTCACTATTTCAAAGCTACTGCACTTATCAACATAAACCAAACGACATTTTAGTGCAAAGAAAGGATTGAAGAATTTAAAAGTCCACCTTTTTGTTTTTTTTTCAGTACAAATGTTTCATTGTTTTACCGACCGTAGTCAATTCGATATAGAATATGAAACCATTTTGTTTTTTGCTTTCGGATAATCCGTTTCCAAAAAATGATGATACTCATCACAAATTGGACAAGTTTGAGTAGCCATTTTGAACAAAAAATTTCAAATAGTTTAATGTATGTACTTTCACCTGTAAAAAGTTTTATTTTGAAATATCTTTAGTATTTTAAAAAAACACATTTTTTGGAGGAACCAGGCCTTAAAGAACTTCACTCATATGCAGTTCGCGAAGCTACAGCTAGTTATTTTTTCTTTAACTCTTTAGGTTGATATACTTTGGTGAAACAAAGTGTTATCGAATGCTTATTATAGCACAGACAAATAATTACAAACTCTTTATTGAAACCTCCTTGTCTTCGAGCGTGGTTCGGGACCAAATATGTATGTCTATATAAAGACCAATACATTGGGATCCATCTTGTATAAACCCCCTTTCTTGAATATTAAACCTAGCAGAAACTAGGTTAAAAACTATAACTATGAAATAATAAAAGGGTCCATGCGAATGCCATTCTATTTTTACGGCGAGATTGCTAGTGGTAAGAAAGTTGAATGATAAGGGTTCCAACAGGATATGAGACAAGAGCAGAAGAGAGACGAAATGTTCAAGAAGATGTTACAAGAAGACATTTAAGCGCCACCTTATTTTTTATTAGAATAAATAAAGAAAAAATAATAACTAATCCTAGACCGGAAGGACATTGAATTTCCCTTAGTTGGCTGTA